AAATGTTGCAACAAACAGAAGAAGTAACTCTTGTTGGTGTGGGAATGGAGTGGTGGTGGTGGTGGTGGTGGTGGGGGGGGGGTTGTTACTATTATTTTTGTTATTATTTGTTCATTAATTCCATGATTGCTTAAGTTGATATCAGATCAATTGAATAAACAGTATAAATTTACTTGAAGATTCTTCTAGTTTTTATTGTTATTTCCGAAAATTTTGCTTCAAATATTGTAACTGGTCTGCTAGGTGATAAAATTCACACCACTTTAAATAGTTATTAATTAACCAGACACAAAGGTATATCTTTCTATTAGAGTTTTTCAATTTAAAATTCAAAGAATTGCAATTTTCATGTGCAATAAAGATACATTTTGGGAGATTGTGAAGTTGTTCAAAAGTGTATGATTTCATTTAGAATAACTCCGAACTTAAAGCACAAAGAACATTGCCACTTTAGAAGCTCAGAGTAAGTATGAATGTCTGTGGGAATAAAAAATTTGAGTACGATCGCCTTAATAATAAAAAAGTTACAAGGGTTTGAAAATGGTAGAAGACCCAAAATCGTCACTTTTTGGGGTAAACTGCCACCTTTGGCACCCATTTTCTCAAATACTGGCAGGAATCCCATGGAGAACTTTTTTTCCCAACTCCAGTACATATTCAAGATTGGAAAAGTGCTATCGAAAAGTAGTCCCCAGGTTAGTGGAGCGAAATCCTATTTCTAGCCACATTTTGAGCTTCAGCCTATGGCCTATTTGTAGAGCTTTTCAGAAATTACAGCTGGGATTCTTGTCCATTCCTCAAAACGGCTCCCGGATGGATAGTTTTCGCTTTTGAACAATGATCTTCATGACCTCAGACCCTCAGCATGATGCGCCCACTACCCTGTAAAAGTGGAACCATGCTCTGGTTCCTAAACTCTGACAGAAACACCAACCTCTGACCCACCAGAGTCCAGAGAACCAGAGTCCTGCATTTCTCCTCCAGAATGAGGTTAGGGTTAGGGTTAGGGTTAGGGTTAGGGTTAGGGTTGGGATGCTTCCACCAGAGTCCAGAGAACCAGAGTCCTGCTTTTCTCCTCCAGAATGAGGTTAGGGTTAGGGTTAGGGTTAGGGTTAGGGTTAGGATGCTTCCACCAGAGTCCAGAGAACCAGAGTCCTGCTTTTCTCCTCCAGAATGAGGTTAGGGTTATGGTTAGGGTTAGGGTTAGGGTTAGGGTTAGGATGTTTCCACCAGAGTCCAGAGAACCAGAGTCCTGCTTTTCTCCTCCAGAA